CGTCCGTGACATAATTGAGGCCGCCTAGAGTAGACATGATCACAGCCGTAACAAGTACAAGTAAAAGAAGACAAACTCAGTGACCTTGCGTGAATTATTTTAAGGTGCTAGTTGACTTGTAATGTATTTACCGTTTTTCATCGGCCCTCCTTCATCCGTGTCTAACGTCGTGACTAAGGGCTAAATACGAAGAAAGGATGCAGGTGCCACAGACACAGTCGTATAGCCTGTTGTGCGCGGCTTAAGCATTCAGGATCGGTCTAGCACATCTAACGCACGGTCCCTTTAGGAGGCACAACAAACACAGGACCCATTGTTCAAGGTCTGGTCATGTTTTGAAGTCCATTTCATTTGGTCGCTGAAGGACCTATCAACTCTTCCTCTACTCATGATGTCTATCAGCGGATATCAGAGGCTGGTTGACGTTCAAACTATTGTGGTAGGAATAAATATTCGGCCAATATCTGCAATGACTGACTAAAGGAGAGATAATGACGGAACTAAAAGTCAATGAATATTGAAGTCTCGGGGTTTTACCATAGCTGCGCTCCCGCAAAGTGGGATTAGCAGACTAAGGAAGCAATGCAACCGTCAGAAACGACGAAGTCTCACTTTCCTGTCAGTTTTCTTTTTTGATGTCCCAAAGGATTTGGTGATCTCTGCTTACGAGCTCTTCTACGAGATTCCTGTATCGCCAAGTTCATTCATTTATGAGGTAGGAGTTTCCTTGGTAGTGGCGGAACAAAACTCCACATTTCCAGGTTTTTCGACAGCGATTCGGGCTCGATTTGAGGTCGAGTCGGGCTCGAACCGAGCTCGATTTGAGCACGATTAGGGTCAGGGGTTAGGATTAGGGTTATGGTTAGGGTCAGAGGTTAGGGTAAGGGTTACGGTAGGGTTTAGGGTTAGGGTAAGGTTTAGGGTCAGGGTTAGGGGTAAGGATTAGGGCTAGGATAAGGGTGAGGGTTAGGGTTAGGTTTATGGTTACTGTTAGGATAAGGGTTAGGGTAAGGGTAAGGGTTAGTGTTAGGTTCAGTGTGGAATAGTGATATCTTATGTAAAAAGCCCGAAGTTTCTGTTTCATATTACGAAAAGTCTTCAAAATCCATTATTACTGGGTTTTGGGCAAAGGAAAGTTTTCGGAATGAAACTCCACATCTCCAAGTTTGTTGACAGCGATTCGTGCTCGATTCGAGCTCATTTCGATCTCGATTTGTTTTTTGCGCCTTTTTTCGATTTACGCGCCCAACGCCGTCGGCCTTTAGCCACGGTATTAAATTATTTCGACAAAATGTTACGACTTTTTTTTCTTATTTTCATAAAATCCTTTTTTGGTAAATCAGTTT